CATATAGATTTTCAATTGAATCAGCACGAATAGCTCAATTAAGAAAATTAATTAATGATAATGTATGAGAATATATATTATTTTTTTTTTTATGTTGAATTGTTTATTTTAAATAAATTTCTTTATGTTTTTTTTTAGGATATTGAAAAAATGGATTTTAAAAAAATGGAAATATCTGAATTAGCTAGTTTAGTTAAAATTAGCCTTAAAGAACCTGGAATAGGTAAGTTTATATCTTATAAATAATGATTTATTAAAAAATCATGTAAATATGACAAGTCACTAAATTAAATATTTCAATAGAAAAATTTTGTTATAAGAATGATTTATATGAATTGTTGATTTATGTCAAAAGAAAAAAAAACAAAAAAGTAGAACAATAGTGATTGAAATGAATAGAGACGAATAAGATTGATGATCTTTTTTTTTTTCTCTTTGTCTATCGTATTCGATAGAATAATATATTGTTAAATCTGCTTTTTATCTTATTAAAAATTAATACATTTCAATGAGGAACATTCATGAATAGAAATTATTAATTCTTATTCTTATTATTTTTTTCTTTTTGTCGAACAAATGAGTACAAGTTGATGTTATTGAATATTAAATGAATAGAAACAAGAATGCATTAATAAATTTATTTAACTATTCGAAGTTTTCTTGTTTGATTGTTCAGTATTCTTACAGATATTTCATTTGTTTTGAATGATTAACTAATCAGAATCGTTATAAATAGACTACACTAAGAGTTTGAATAGGATTTTTATTCAGAATTTCCCTTCCGGAACTCCAGGAGGGCAAACATCTACTGTTAGGAACATGAGCACATAATATATCATAAAATTACCACAAACTTTAGGAAAGTCGAATTGATCTTCGAGTAGACGCCTTCTTCTCCCTCTGCCCCGAAAAAACCACTGGAAAAAGTAGTTTTCATATTTGATGATCAAGGTAACAATTCTTTCGTTGCATGTTTTCGTATACATAAATTTATAAATTCATTTAATTATTGAGTTAATAACTATTAAGCAAAGTAATAATCTAAGAAAAAAAAATTTGAGTTAATTACACTGTAAAAATACATATTATTAAATTATTTTTTAACTGTACACAGAAAAGCAATGAGCAAGATCTACGAAGTATTTAAATAGAATTTAGAATTTATTATCACTTGTGATAAAGATAGGGTTTTGTGACATACCTATTGAATGATTTATACTATTCTAAAGTAGTGTTTAGTTAAAAAAAAAACATCACATACTTGTTTATCTCTGTTGAAATCAAATTTTTATATAAAATAAGACAGAAATTTATGAATTGAAAAACATTAATACGCTGATAAAAAGAAAGAGCATCAAATAGTAATCTTTTGAGAAAACGACCGCATCTCTTCTTTTTATATCTTCAATATAAATTTGGTGTACATTATAAGAAAAAAGTCACAGCATGAACTCTTGGATTAGCTTTATTATAAATTAGCATTGAGAATTTTTAAGTCGACTTTTCTTATGGTTTTTTAACAAAAGGAGAATATTCCTTACAGTAAAATACTCATTGACTTCATATTACAGAAAATGATTCATCTGTCAATAAGATTAAAAAAAGAAAATTTCAAATGAATTTGTACTTCTTATCTGATAATTGTTGTACCTAACATTTAAACTCGATGAGAGTATTTTATAAATATAATGTATCATATTTTCTTAAGAAAACCCCGTAGGACATTTGTTATTTGTACTAGAAAAAGGCTTATATATTCAAAACATTTAATACTACATAATATATTAAGTTCTCAAATGATAATTGTTGAAATATTATAAACGATCAATAAATTTCTTTTTAGGTATTATACCTGATGAAAATTATGAAGATTTTCTTAATTTGGTTAATGCTCCAACACAAGTTATTCAAGAATTTGTTGGTAAATATTCCATGCCATTTTATGTTGATTTTCTTAAATTTATAATGTGTCATATCATTAAAATATGGAAACTTGATTATGATCTTGCTATGACAAATGCTAATCAACATCATACAATTAAACCATATGAACCTGAACGAGTTGTTGATAAACTTGTGGCTATATTTAAACAGCTGATATTTCGGTAATCATAAGAAAAAACCAAAACAATAAATTTTTATAATTTTTTTTTTTATTTGTTTTATTTTTTTCTAAGACCACCATGGCCAATGATAATGTCACATGCTCGTAATGATAAAGATCATGTTCATTTATTAAAACGTTTTATATATGAAATTGATTGGAATGCGGAACGACCACCAGTAAAATTATTTCAACAATCTCCATCATTGAATATATTAATATCACAACAACAATCACTTGATAAATGTCAATGGTTTTATAATCGACAAGATATTCAATTATTAACAAATAAACTTTTAACAAAATCTTTCACAATTAATGATGGTGATTATTATGTACGTTTTTCAACTGAACCAAGTGTATCAGCACCATTTACACTTGTTGTACAACTTGATGGTCAACAACGTTTTATTAAAATTTGTATGAATAAACAAGGACAATATGGATTTTCATTAAATTCATGTTTTTTTCAAACAATACAAGATTTAATTGAATATTATACACAAAATTCTTTATCAAAACATTTTCCGATATTAAAATCTGACATGAAATTAGCTAAACCAATTCGTCGTGATATATTTTTATCAAATATTCAAAATGATGATTTGGATGATTATGCTGTTGTTTTATCAAATATAAATGATCAAAATCTTTTACGTATTGCTTTAATTGAATTAACAAATAAATATAATGAAATTGAACGTGAATGTACATCATTAAAAAGTGAACTTGATCAAATTATAACATATATGAGCGAAATACAACGATCAACAATGGCATATGGAAGGTAGAAATTAATTAGTTAAATATTTAAAATGAAATAAATTGAAGTTACATTTCTCAATTGTTGAATAATCAGAAAAAATTCAAATTTAATTTTCTAGTTGAGTTTGTTTTGAATACGATGTTGTCATATAAAAAAAACAAACTAATATCACTTGCCTTTGATTTTGAGATTTCAATATTTCATAAGAGAAGTTTCTCAACTAATTAGTTGCTTTTTAGTCAGGACTATGTACATAACGTAGACTGCAATTAACTATGAATACTCTGAGAAGGTCTAGGGTGTGTAGCTCATTGCCGTAGAGATATTGTAGTAATACAGTATTTTTTTACTGAATACCGTGGTCCTCGTCAGAAACATCAAGAAGACTTGAAACTTTACACAAACACCGGTCTTTTGATTTGTTACTACCTTAAGATAAGAATTTATAAACAGCAAACAAAAAAAAACGAGATCATCTCAAACTTCACGAAAAAAGGCAAGTGATTTAGGGTTCACTTGGTGTTTTTATACTTCTAAAATTCGATCCGTTTCGCTAAATTCACGTTTACTTGTTACTAATCACGTCGACATTGAACACAATATTCATGCCGAACATCATACTTGTGGACATATATACAAGTACTTTTCTATCACGAAAATACACATTCACATTTTTTTTTGATAATTCATTTTTCTTTCTATGTATTCAGTTACTCGATACTATGCTTCACTTTCATTCGTAGATGAGTTTTCACTAAAAAAAAACTTTTTCTAATAAAACTATATCACTTTCCACCTATATGACCTGTTCTACAGTACAATAAATTGCTTCTTCATGATCGAACTGGTTTTCACATCTATACTTTTCTATAAATTAGCATTACAATAAACTACAAATATTTTGAAACGTTAAGATGTCATTATTTACCGGGTTCTGTTGCAGCACATTATATAGTATTGAGTTAAAAAATACTGTTAAAAATGGACTATGTTTGCAGTAATGAAATATGGGTTTGAATTCTTGTCAGAGCATTTATAGCTCTTTAAGATTTACATTATGTAGATAGTCCGCATTCGAAAACGATTAATCCATTGAGAAAGTTTCCTCGTGAGTATAAATAAAATCAAAATAAATAATCGATTTGTTTTTATAATTTTGTTAAGATCTGTCCATCCTAAATTACTTAAGACTTGATCGATAGACAGAAATAAATGTCACGCAGGAAAAAAGTACTTTGAATTTAGTATACATAAATTTTCATATATTTAGAATTCAAATGATTTATGAAAAACAAATGAAACTTAATCGTGAGAATTTTTTACAAAGTCAAAAACAAACTGAGAAAAATGAATATGATCGCTCATATAAATATCTTGAACAACGTGTTGAACAATTTGTTAATAATATGAAAGGCTTAAATGAAACATATACAGAACGACAACTTAAACGTGATGAATTAATGAAAACTCTTGATAAAAGAAAAAATGATATAACAATTTATGAAAATAAAATTGCTATGTGTATGAAATTACTTGCTGATAAAGGTGTTGAACAACATGAAATCAACAAGTATGAAAATACACATTTTATTTATTTTAATATTTTTGTTTCTTTCTTACTTGTTTTCAGTTTTCTTGGTATTCCAACAGACGAACCGTGGTATTTACCAACAATTAATCGTGAAATAGCCCATAAATTATTAAAACCATGTGCTGAAGGTACATTCCTTATTCGTACATCCTCCAATGGTCTATATGCATTGACATTAGTACATAATGGAGTTATATATGATTGTCGAATAGGTCGAGATCCAAATCAAAACTATGCGTTCCGATTTGTTGCTTCATATATTGATAAAAATGGACAATCAACAACAATGAATGATAATAGTCCAGCTTATTGTGATCGATCATTTTATTCATTAAAAGAATTAGTTGATTTTTATACAAAAAATTCATTAGCTGAAAATAATCCTGATTTAAATACATGTTTAACAATACCTATTAAGTCCCATGTGAATATTAAAATATAGAAATCTTAATTATTATGCATTTTTTCTTTTCTTTTTTTTCTTTTCTATTTTTAATGCTTATAAATATATATATATATATATATAAATAAATCTCTTATTAAGTCATCTGTTCATAAACAGGATTAAAATGAAGTTTGATTTCATTCCAACGACTACGTAAACGTTCACGTCGTTCATATGCAAATGATTGTCTAAAAATAAAATAGCAAAAAAACATTTAGTCAAATAGAATTCAATATTAATTACCTTGTACGAAACATTTCTTTGATCTTATCATCGAATAAAATCGAAGTTTTATCTATTTCAATTGTTGCACCACTTTTTTTAGTTTGTGGACTTATAGTTTTTAATGGTTTTATATCAATAGTTGATTCAATTTCATCGAGAGTTGAGACAATACGTTCAGGATAATAATTTTCAAGAGAAGGAAAATGTTCTAATGGAACACGATAAAGACGTAGAAATGATGATTTATTTTCTGTAGATCGATTTATATTTTCAGGAACTAGAATAGAACAAAGAAATAAAATAAAAAAAAAAAAGAAAATATCAGATGACATCGTGATCTTTACAAAACTTACTATAACTCTTAACCTTCAATTCTTGTAAAATCTGTACGATCTTTTCGAAAGATTTTATAAGACTTTTATTTAAAGACTTAATGTAGATTTTGTAGGGACAACGGTTTCTTTTGATTCTTAAAAACTCGCACAACATTAAATATGAATCATGAAAGAACTGATTGTTTTTGGGAGAAGAATGTAGATTTGGAACTTCCAGCAAACTTTTATGCTGGCGATACTAATACATATTTTGAACTAGACTGACAATTAAGCTAATAGTTATGAGTGAGATTTATACTGTTTTAGTTCGATTGTTTTTTTTTTTTTATAAAACTTGGTCATAGATTTCTGGAATATTCAGCTATTGTTCTGAAATAAGCTTCTCCTGATTAGAAAAATTGAATTCAAGAATTTTGAAAAATCGATCATAGATTTGGATTCTTCGGCCTCAGAAACCTTTAGACTAGATTTATTGAAAAAAATCGTTATTTTCGAAAAATAGTCTTCGTAGTTTAGAGTAAGTTTAATCAACTCTACTGGTAGTTATTAATAAATAAAATATTTTATATTTTATAGTTGAATAACATAGAATCTATGTGTAATTACAAAACATGTTGACTATCAAATAAAGAGTTTATTTAGTTTCGAAATGAAATGATATCAAAAGTATTGATTGATTTTTTTGAAGTTGTTTTCTAACATAAAAAACAATTTAATGAACCATATTGAGGCAAGTTAGAAAAACCAATCACATATGAAATTCTTAATACCTATTTACTAAGTAATCAATTAAATAATTTTTGATAAAATCTTTCAACGTATGATATTCAGATGATTAAAAAATAAAAGATAAGCTTCCTCATAGAAGCATATTCTTTGATAGATTTTTTTTAAAGAAAAGCTCATTTTTATAGTCATTGAAAGGTAATTGGTTCGAGTTAGTTAGAATCAGAATTTTCCGCTATTTCCCTATATCTGTTCAAAATCTCTTTCTTGGATAAGATTGAGCCACCGTCCGTAAATTTTGTAAAAGCCTAAAACTGTCTTTGAATAAAGCAAAATAACATTTTTTAGCGCTGGCAAAAGTTTGTGTGTTGATTTTTATTGAAATCGCCATTAGGATAAATATCCGCTACTTTAAAAACTACTTTTAAAAATACAAAATCTATCATTCAAAAATAAATAGCACGTATTGTTGGGCAAATGAAACTGACTCAAAAAAAAGGTTTCCTATTTTGAACTTGATAGGTTCCAATCGAAATACAAAATTGACTAAAGTACAATTCTGTATAGCCACTATTTTGAAACAGTCTGATCATGAATATCAAATCTTACAAGGAAACATCTTCAACTGTCCAACGCTGTTCGACTGTTGAATATATTCACTCATTAGCTCAGAAGGAAATACTAAACACATATTCGATAGGACTGAAAAAGTCTGTTTCTAACTATCTGCTTCTGACTCTAGGAAACTACTTTTAAGTAACTGAAAAATGAGGAAATCTTTTGTACTACGGTTTTCACATCAAGGTTACTATAATTTCTAATAAACCTCTTATAAATTAAAAGAGTAGAAATAAATTTCTTGTTACATAATTACTTCCAACAATAATTGATCTTGCATTATCTACAAATGCAATTTGAGGTGGAGTATTATTATTATAGTTTGTTGAGTGTGGTAAAACAATTTCACATAATTGTTTACATTTTAATGCATCATTTATATAAATACGATTGAGTTCATTAATACTCACAAACTATTCAATTAAATAGAGAGAATTGAATGAAATTAAATTTCCAAAAGTAAATTTGTCTTACTAAATTCGACGGATTACAATTAAAAAATAGCATTCGAACAATTTTTGACGTATCTTTACTTTGTTTTCTAATCGAAATCAAAATAAAAACATGTATTTATTTTTTCAATAAAAAATTTTTATACATACTGAGGAAAGCATGCAATTATATTTTGTTGTTCATCAGTTTTTTCTTCAGTTAATATTGATTTAAATTTCACACGATATACTATACCATCATGAGATAAAACAAATATTCCATTTTGTTTATCTTGAGTATCAACATTTAAAGGATATTCTAGAGAATCAAGGGCATGAATATCAAGTATTGGACATGATCTAATATGTTGAATTGATGGAAGATCATTAACACCTAACAAATCAAGACATTCAATGAAATTATTTTAATTCTATTAATATTTTTTCTTATTACCTGTTGTTCTTTCAATAATACAAACATTTCCTGATTGAAGAGCTACAGCAAGATGTTCATGTTTAGAATCATAACATAAACTTGTAATACGACTAGCAAATGGCCATATGACAACAGGACGAGTATCGAAAGCATCTAAAAAATAAATGTATAGATATAGTGAACATAACAAACAAAAAAAAACAGGCAAAATGCAATTACCTTTCCCTTTACTTTCTGATTTAGCAACTTTGTAGATAAGTAATTGATTTGTTGTTGGCCAACTTACAGCCAGACAATGAACTCCTGAAATTTTCAAAACGACATATGACTTGAAATGATCTAGTGGTAATGGAATTACTACTGAGATCAAATACTCAGACAGTAAGACCTTATAAGATTCTATATCCGATCTTGTAAGACCATGTGAAAATTATCGAAAAAAAAATCTTAGTCTCAGAAATCTTACGCTTCTGAAAGAACCTCTTTAAATATGGACTTTCGATTTCAAAAATTCTTTTTATCTATAAATCTTGAAACGATTTTTGTTCAAAACTTCTGAATTTTTTCATGGAAGCTAGTCTAGTTGAGTTCGCTACATGTGCAAGGTTTCAGATGAAAATTCAAAAATACAAGTTTTCCGCAAACCTGAGACTTCTAAAAGATAGACATATCAAAAATTCGATAGCTTAGTTAAACCTCCATAGGAACCCAATTTTTTAAAGTTCTCATTAAGATTCTTGGAAAATCTTACTATCTTGTTATATACCACTATAAGATTATAGGAAATCTCATGTAACTGTAAGGTCTTCCGAAAATCTTATTGTACGATTTAGTTTAACATTTATGAGACTACGGGTTTTTGTATGATTTTATCTGATTTTATAAGATCTTACATTTGATTTCTTGACCTAGGTATCTTCGGCGTATTATATCATGATACTATTCAGAATATAGCTATTGATAATTGCGTAATTTAAAAATCAATCTTCTGTAAACAAATCACATTGCAGACTTTTTTTTAAAGCTGGTCTTAAGAATGTGTAATATTTGTTTATTCTTTTAGATTATAACTATCAATCAGATAGAAAAAAAGCCATGCAGTCTTAGTTTCAATTTGAAAAAGTATACGAGTTTGAAACACACGATGCAATCTGATATTTAATAGTTTTTCTGGTGAATTGCCATAAATTGTTTCAATACATAATATTTCCAACTGATATCTACTAATTCATACTTTTTTTTGTTTGTGCACTATATTATCTCAATTTAGTGTATTATCTTTTGCTAATCATTGTTTTCGCCTGTTTTTAAAGTCAGAAAATCTATTTTTATATTGCATCAAAATTTCTTGAACAAATAGAAATTTAAGAATAGATTCTTGTCATTTACCTGCTGTTGTTGTTGTTTTAGCTGGAATAAAAACAAGATTAGGAATTCTAAAAGCAAAAAGAATCCAATTATTTGTTAATTATCTTCTCCTTTATAATACTTACACAGGTGAAGATGGTTCAGCTTTAACTGTTGATAATATTTGATCAGTTGTATCATTTGTTATCGGCATAATTAAATCTCTAACTAATAACGTTTTTGCATCAATAATTTGTTGAGTATAAAAATGATTTGATATTCCTTGTCCAATATTCGATTGATTTTCCGTATTCTTCATTAATTGTTGAAAATTATTCGCTCCTATAGACAAAAATAGTTAATTTAACGAAATAAAAAAAGAAATATATTTTATTATTACCTGCGCAAAATTTAGGTGCTTTAGTTTTGAACAATAAAGTTGGACGAGAAAATTGGCCACGTAATAAAGTTGAACTATTTTCTTTTGATTGATCCGATGCATTAGCTTCCATTTGATTCTCATTTCCAGCCATAGCCTATTAATTATTTCTTTAAAAAAAACATATTTTTCAATCCAAATAAAACCTGTTCTTGAGCTGCTATCTCTGATTTCCATTGTTCTCTTGATAGTTTGTATACTTCAAACCATGAATCATTATTACCTTAAATTGAATAAAATTAATGAAAAAAAAATTTCTTCGTTAAGATAATTTTATGAACATACCAAACCAAGAAACAACTAAATATTCATCATTTAAACCAGTTTGTGTCATTAAACATAATGGTCTTTTATTATCATCCTTTTATAAAAATAAATTCATTTCAATAAATAATTTAAATTTCTGTTCATACTTCTGTTTCATATTGTGTAAATAAAAGATAGTATTGTTGATTTCTATAAGCAATCATTTTCCAATAACCTAAAATTTTATTTTACAAAAAAAAAACAAAGTTTGAAGAAAATAAAAAGTTGTAATTTCATCCTACCTAATTGATCAATAATGCTTAAAAAATAAATCGTATCTTTTATTGATGAATCAGATTTAAATACAGTCATATTCTGTATTGAACTATCAATTGTAATATGATGTACTATTTCGTCAATTTGATTATCGTAACAAACAAGATATGATTGTTCATTTTGAATACCATTAAAAAAACATAATGTACCAGATATATGACTACCAATTAGTGATATAGGAAATGGAGTCTAAGAAAACGAAAATATTAAAGAAAAGATTATTGAAAAAATCTATAGTAAAATCTCGTTTCCATGAACACTGTCAGACGCTAAAAAAATGTTCACTATGAAGAGACTTCAAGAATTTCTAGATCCAGACTTGGACCTGATGAACTTGAATTTAAGCTTCTTTACTAGTTTTGAAGTAAGCAAAGACTATTCTCTGTATTGTTTCATCCTTCAGCATTTGAATATTTATAGTTTTCGACAGAATACAAAGCTTTGCTTTGTTTTGTAGAACTTTGTATTATTGCTTTTATCTCGATATATGTGTGCATTTGATGAACATTACTGTGCAATTCATCCAAATATATATTCATAAAATTTTATTACGTTCACAAATTATTGAACTGTCTTTTAATACTTTAATTTTGGATCATTAGATAAACAACTCAAAATTCTTTCATTTTTGTTGTCATTAATTAATTGAAATCTTTCATTTAATTTAAGATGCTCTAGTGATGTCATTGTTTTCTCTGATATGTTCAGTTTTAGTGCATTAAGCAGAAATGATGAAGAAAAGACGGAGACAGAATTGCATAGATGTTCATTTAGAAGAAGTTAAAATACTAGTCGAAACTGTAAAAACCATTTTAAAGCTCAAAATTGGAGATGTTCACAAATAGAACTCTAGTGAGCATATTGAGGTCAAGGCGCTCGTATGTTGAGTTATTTGTCAGCAGACAACCTTTTCGAATACTCTATTAACATTTTGTCACAGGATCTTGATTGAGTGCTGTGTTGAGAAAATTCTTACAAGGAAACGTTTTCGATTGATCAATTGCTTTTGAATGTGAACGATGTACATATGGTAGACTCCAGTTAGATATGAAAAATCTCAAAAGGGTAAGTTCACTCAGTCCTTCTGTCCAGAATTACAGACATTTTACTCGAATTTTAGCTTCTGGCAAGGTATATACTAACAAATCAAATAATGGCATTTCGACCTGAAATTTCACGCCAGATAGACCTATTGGTCAGTAGAATGCCCTGATACTTTTACGACTTGTTGGTAGACATCATGCCAGAAGCTAAAACTTCACTAACATGCTGATAACTCTCACCATCAAGTCTAATCGGATTTATCCTTTTAAGAATTTTTACATCTCGTTAGAGCTTATCATATGCACAAAGTCCGAATTCAAATGCAATTGGTCCATTGGAGACTTTCGTTTGTCCGTACATCGGTACTTGCCGAGTACCCATCCAGTTCCTAGAACATTCTACGAAAACTTTTTCAACAAGTGAGTAGATTAAACGTGTAGAAGTATTTTTTAGTTAAGTACTAAAAACTCTTGAACTCAGTAGATTCACTATGAAGGCTTCACTGTAATGAATTTTATCTCATTAATACATTTATTGTTGTTGATGATGTATGTTGAGCGGATACAAATTTTGTTTGATCAATAGTACGTTGTTTTTCACGTTGTTCAATAATTGTCCATGCATCATCAAATATTGATTCAAGAACTTTATTTATTCGTCTATAAGTGTCGAAAAAAAAAAGAATTCATTTAATTTAATTTTGTTTTTTTATTATTATATACAAACCGAAATGGTTGTGGCAATTCATCAAATATTAATGATGGATCTAATGTAAAATCAGTTCGATCATTTAAATGATCTTGTCGAGATGGAATTGGAATAGCTTGTTCATTATCTATTAAACGATCTCTATAAGATCAAAGCCAAAAAAATAAATATAATCAATTATAGAAACAAATAAATAAAACTAAACAAACTTTGCAGAAGATGTTGATTTATTTTTCAATTTTGTACGATATTGATTAGTACTCATGATTAAAATATAATCTTAAATGATGATGAAAATTTTTATTTTTTTTTGTTTTTCAATAAACACATTACAAAATATGATAATATTATGATCGAAAAATTCACTATACAATGATTTTTCTTCCTTGAATATGAAATAAGATGTTCGAAAAACAAAAAAAAGAAAAAAAAGCTATTTATTCGATAATTCTTAAAGCACTGTCTTCGCCTAATTCTTTTTGTAATCTTGCATCTATTCGATCCCAATCAACATCAACCTAGTAAATGAATAGAGAAAAAAAAACGTTGTGGAACAAAAACAAATCAAAAATTTTAGCAACTAACATGTTTCATTGCTTGTAAATATTTTGGATTGGTTTCTTTTTTACCACCACCATAATCTTTTAAATATTTTTGTCGATAACCAACAACGATTTCTAAATATTGAGGATGTCGTTGAGTTAAATCAATTGCTCTAAAACGAAAGAAATATTGAAAATATGAAATATCGATATTTAATTGATTGACTAGAGCAGCTGAATTCGTATTTTCAAAAAGAAAAATTTTAAACTTATATTTAGATCTTTTAAAGTTTACTGTCTATTTAGAAATTAAGTTTCATATTTGTTTATTTGGAATATAAAATAAAGAATTTAGGGAATGTTCAATTTTATTTCTTTACCCTCAAATGATGAACTAATTTTTTATTTCAACAACAAGACGATTGAATTTCAAGCATATCTATTGTCATAACTAATTAAAGGCAAACGACTTGATTTCAAACTATCAATTTTATTGAAATCAATCATATATAGCAACCTTTTGATGAAGATGTCGGTGTTTGAACATATGTTATTTATAATGCTTCTCTCACTGACATTCTCAAGCAAAAACACTTCATTTTCACAGTTAAAATTTATTTTCACTTGTTTCTGTATCAAAAATTTTACGATTGTTTTAAATTCTAGAAATCTCGGAGAGCTTTTAACATGAAGTAATAGCGATGCACTATAACTTAATAGTCTGATTTTTTAAAAATCTTTTGATTCATATTTGAGAAGGATAAAGTTCTTTCCAGTATGTCACTATAATTTCTCAATCTTAAAAAGTACAAACTTCTGAGAAAATTATACAAAGAAAATTTTCAAAAATTCAGTTCTATTAACAAAGGAACCACTCAAGTTGATAATCATCGTTTGAACTCACAGAAAAGTCTCGATAAGAATAAAAAAACCATAAAACGATTTGTTCTCATAGGTTTCTGCCACAGAGTTAGAATCATTTTCACCTTTTTAATCAGCGTGGGAGCCGTGAAGACGGAGCTTCTTCAAAGATCACGTTGGCACTTTCGAGAGTTAATGGTTATTGTAATATCTACTATGTATTTGTGCTTCCAAAACTAGATGTTCGCCCCTCCGAAAGATGAAATCTTGATTTTAGTACAACATTTAAATAACTCAATCTTTTTTGCTCAAATTTTCACTACAAACTATCTCAGGCGACTTATACATTTCGTGAAAGTTTGAGCAAGATCAGTTGTTCTATGCAAAAAAAAAAGCTTTCTGATAGGAGGATCTCAAAAATCGAAGTAATTATATTATCCGATAGATGTTTAAATTTTTAACAAATATAAGGTAAAAACTGTAACAAACCGATCCCAATTATGTTCATTAAGATGTAACATAATAGCATGAAGTGGTTTATTTCCTTGTAAATAATGAGCTTCAGCTTCTTGTATATTTCCACCAGCAAGTAATGCAAGTTCAGCTTCACGTTCTTCTTTAGATGAAACTGAACGAAGATTTTGTAAACAAAAAACCATTTCAGTCTAAATTATGCATTAAAATATTTTCTTGTCTTCTTTTTAATTTTAAAATTTACATTCGACAATTGTGCAAAAGCATTTTCAGCTGAATCAAAATCTCGATTATGTAATGAAATAACTGCAATTAATGCATAAATCGAATCATCCTAAATAATAATAAATTAAAAGAAAATAAAAGAAAATTTTGCTTGTGTTTTTTCTTTACAGAAATATATTGACATAATTGTAATGCTTCTTCAGCTCGGTTAGCAGCAAGTAAATCAAGACATAATTCATAATAAATTGGTATAACACATTGTATAAGTGCACCCGTTGATTTACGTATTGTTATTTGAGAACTAAGAAAATCTGATATTGATGGATTTTTACCAAAATCACTTGAAATAAATAAATAAATAAATATAATTTAGTTAAACAATGATTTTCAATTTACTTTGATTCTATTCGATAAGTTGTTTTATCAGCTAAGCTTGGATCAACAAAAACAACATTTGGATAAAGCCATATATTAAGTTTGCCATCAGCTATGCCTGCTAACATAGGATTTTTATCGTTCCATCGAAAACTACCAATATTTGTACCTAATATATAAATGATTTTCAATCTGTAGAATAAAATAAGAATGTAAGCAATAAAATATACAAAGTTTTCGAATTCTTTGAGTATTTGAGCGTTGATTTTGTCCAACTGAACGAACTTGCATAATAAATAAATCTTGAAATTTATCTGCAAATGCAAGTTTACGTTCATTTGGTGAACCTGTTTGATCAAGTGACAAATGAATTATTTCGTACTAGAAGAAAAAAATACAATTTGATTTTTTTTAATAAAACTATGAGAAAAATATTTATTTACAGCATGTGATACAGGTTTTCCATCACCAACTGGTTTACCATTAACATCGAAAAACATAACAGCTAATAAGAAATAAAATAGTTTAGAGAACTTTGCTAGATTTACGGACTTTTCTTAAGTTAGAATACTATATATGTGGTTTCGTAGAACAATTTGCAGTGTAACGGGTGGATCGAAAGTTTTCGCACAAAATGTTTGCTCATTTTTGGCCCACTCGAAAATATTTCAGACGAGTCGAAAACTATGGACTAGAACCAGAATTTTGTGCTATTTCTAAATATGAGCTTGGAAATTTTTTGTCAGTTTTTGTTCGAGAGTAGTGAAGAAATCTTTGAAAGGCCTGAAAAATTTGTTTGGACGGGAAATTTTTTCACACTTTTTTATATTTTAACTATTGCGATTCGAAACTAAAAGTTGGAACCTTTATTACTCTATCAACTGGTAGAGCGAAATCTGCACTACAAAATGTACTATTTGAGTTTTTTTGGTCTTTAGGCAAGACTTCTCAATTTTTGTTTTTTCTATACCCTAATTTATGAGAAATCGACTTTTTGACAAAAAGACGTTTTTCACAAAAAGGAGCTTCTGACAAAATACATATAACTTCACTTGTGTTAAAGCTACAACTTAATTCAATATCCCATTTTGTAAATAAGTGTCCGCTCTAACAAAATACCGTGTCCGATAACTTTTAGCATCTTCCCAAAGGGACATATATGGGCTAGAAAAAGCTGTTTATACGTCGTCCAAATTAATTTTTAAGGCCTTTCGAAGATTTCTTCACTGCTCTTGAACAAAAATAGATACAAAATTTCCAAGCTCATATTCAGAAAGAGCACAAAATTCTGGTTCTAATCCATAGTTTTCGACTCGTCTGAAATATTTTCAAGTGGATCAGATATGAGCAAACATTTTGTGCGAAAACTTTCGATCCACCCGTTATACAAAAGGTGTATCCAGAAGTCAAGTTTTCTTCAAAACTTGATGTGTTGAGAGGTCATATACTGATGATAATCTTTGAGAAATATATATCGTACTCATAGCCATTGTAATTCCTAAAATATTCTGATATAAATTCATGAAAATTTTGTTTTTAAACTGAATTCGATAAAGTTATGTATGCATCAATGTTTTATAATTAATAATTTTCATCGTTGCTTTCTTCATACTTGAAAATGATTCTCTTTGTTAAGTCTAGGTTATTGCTTGGCTATATGATGTTCCAGTGTGTTCAGCCCTATGTCATAGGAGTAGTAACGTGAAACTTTTTCATGGATTGCACACTATCAATCTCTATATGTTTCGCGTATAACATCTTCTGGAACAGAAAAATTCGTTTTCCACTTTTAAAATTATGTCCTAGAAAACCCTATTCTCCTATACTAAGCGGATAATGTATTGACGATATCCTAATAACAGTTAACGGCCATATTAAACGTTTTTTATGCATCAATGATAAGTACAGCTTCCCTAATGAAGTAATATAAATAACTCTTTTAAAGAATGGAAAACATTTTTTGGACTTTCGAATCCTTGGAGCGAGTACGAATACAGATTTGCAAAAAAGAAGTCTATTATCCTGTTTTTTTTTTGTTTGCAAATTTGAATTTCGAATATTTAGATTTGTTTTATGCGCGAAACTCTAGAATAAATTTGTATATGTTTGAGGCTCATTTCAAAAATAAATTTGTCCTTTTCCTCGTATCTTCCTCTAGTAAGCAGGAGGTCAAAAGATATTTTTTCCATTTATAAAAGAATTATTCATATCAATCCATAAGAGATCTTGTGCTAAGTATTAGTACATAAAGTTTTTCATAAGTATGTTGAGTATTGTTAAAATATCGGTTCCTTCATATAGGAGGATTGGCTAATCTAGGAGGAAATCTTTCAAGTTGACAATAAGTTCCAACTGTTCCGAAAGATATTATCTGTTGTAAAACATATGAAGCTTCATTGTGTGCAACTTTTGAGAAGCTTTTACGTTAACACTTACTTGCTCTGTGGCACAAAGTTGAATACACGAGAATATCATATAGGCAAGAAATAATCTATATTTAACAAAAGGCGCTATTTTGAACTATCAAGAAGACAATGATGAAAGCTATTCATGATAGAAAATTGAAGAATACCTATAATTGTATCGAATTGAGTTTTAAAAAACGTTTGCATAACTGTGGCTTAGAATATGCTATGGATTACAATGTCTATGAGCACCCTATCATATCCTTCAAGTATTATAACCAGTGTATCGACCCTCGGCACATATAAATTTCCAGTAAACGTAACTTCTTATATACCATTTAATGCACTGCATATTGTTATACAAAACTAAGATATGATATCATGTATGGTTCAACATGCGTCACCAACATCCGATAAAATCCTTTTCTCTGATACACAGCTTGTCTTAGCATTGTGTTAATCTTATAAACGTGTAAAAGAAAAATTTTCAATTATCTTACATTTTGTATCTGTTGCATCACGAATAGCAATAGTATCAGGACTGATTGAAACAGTATTAGCATTCACGGAATCAGGTTTAGCTGACAGTAATTTCGGTGTTGAAACAAGTCGACCTTCATATGAATAAACTGAAATATTGAGCCCATCGGAAAGAAGAAAATATCTAAATGACATAAATTAGAAAATAATGATCATACACTGTTCTTTTTTATTTTACTTTTCTGCTTGAACAATTAAACTCATGGACATATCACGTAAATCAAATAGAGCTGGATGACCAAGATGTTTACAACTAAATAAATAATTCAATATTATATTTAATCATTTGGTTTTTTACTTACTTATAAATTAAACCTTGATTACTTGTTAATACAATTAAATAACCAAAACCAACAGACATTTTAACAAGACGATCTTTAAGTTCAATTTTATCTTTTAAGTCTGTTTCACAATTGCTTACAGTAATGACTTTTGAATCAGTTAAAATAAATTCTAAATGACGCCAATCAAGACGACTAAAACAAAAAGTTTAAAGAATTTTTCTTTTTTCTCTTGACGCACAAAATCGTTTATTCTATACCGTTCAATAATATGTCCAATTCCTACTCGACCTGTACCACATCCACATGCTAATTGTGTACTATCATTTGACCATGACAAACCAAATACACTACCATCTTTTGGTTTTTCTACTGAATGACACCACTAGAATAGAAAGAAAAAACAATCTATACACTTCATTACATGGACGTTAATTAGAATCATGAAACCAAACTTCTGGCACGGAAAACAGAAGATATTGGAATGTTCAATTTAGTCACTTATTGGTAAAATTAACATTGATTTTGCGGTTACACATTGCTTTAAAATTGCAAATCAATATCTGTACTGGATTCTTTGGGCCTGCCACTTCTTATCTAGACTAATATGAGTCTGAAGTAAGATCAACTGTTTTTTTTTTATTTTAGAATTTCTAGTATGCTATTCATTTCTTCAACATGAAAGAAATCAATAATACTATCCTTGTTCACAACTTGAGAACTCAATTTTCTTTACCATATGTGTAAACTAAAATTAAACATGCACTAGAACAATTAGTATTCTCGATAGTTTTTAGATGCGGAATGAATTGAAAATCAGACTGACAGTCAGGGACAATATGTCTGGCGAACTTTGTCTGAGGAAAGGTGTCTTCTAAAACTTGGCGGAGAATTTTGTGAAAAAGCTCGAAATTTTCTTAGACAAGACGTGAAAAGTTGGCGAAACTAGCCTACCACAGTCATTTCCATATTGAGACCTATGAAGATATTATTGATTTACAACTAACAACTCGAAATGGATCATTATAATGCAAATATCCCATCTGAAGAAAGAATCTCACTAGGTGTCAAATGATTTTTCAATCGAAATGATGTTTATATTTGATGAATAATAATGAGTAATAGAAAAGTTTAGATTAGTTTGCTTTTTCAGCCTTTCACTGTTAAGATATCAAAACTCTTGTGTGTAAAAGCATATTTTGTTACATTTCTAGAAAGAAAATACTAGAAAAGCTAAAACTTGCATAATCAACTAGTCTTATTCAGAACTTTGCTCATACAAAGCTTGAAGGCTGAATTTTTACATGAATTGAGTAGAGCACAAGTTTTTGTTCAAAAGTTCCGATAAATTTTCGATATCTCAAGATCGAAAGCTCAGAAAATCAAATGAATCTAGAATTTTCTATTATTCACTAGTAGTCATCAAATGAACATTGTCTCAGACGAAAAGCGATTTGACATCTGGAGAGGTTTCCTTGGTCGATATTGAGGATTGCAAGTCGTTTACTATTTTCATTTTGCATTCATTATCATTTGAATAAAATTTATTCATTTTGAAAGAATATTCTATTATTATATACATACACCAGCACTATCGCATAAACGTATTGTATTATAGGAACCAACAGCAAAGTTTGAGCCATCTGGTGCCCATGCAAGACTTGTAATAGGATATTCAAATGCTTGACTAGCAAATAATTGTCGACCAACTGCATCCCATACCTTTATTTATACAAAAAAATTTCTTAAATAAAAAAAAACAATTGAAAATACATACTTTATATCGACAATCTTCACCACCTGATATTATTAAATTATTAACTGTATTCCAATCACATTTCAAAATAATTTGATCATGTGCTTTCCACTAAATCGAATAGAAATAAAAAAAAAAACAGATGTTAACTTATGTTCAAAACAAAATGTCTGATATTTATACCGAATTTTGTTTTGAATTAGGTGAAAGGGGTTTCATAACAAGATGTTTTCCTGCACAATAGAGTATTGCATCATTTTCTGCTGACCAACATACACAAAATATTGGTGTTGCTAAATTCAACAAAAAAAAATCAAAAAAAAAAGACAAACTAAAAATATTAAAAATTTACCTGATTGAACAAGATTCGAACGTAACATGCCGGATCGTGCCCATATTCGAATTTGTCCATCTTCTCCACCTAAAAAAGAATATTAGATATAAAAAGACAAAAGAAAAGAAAAACAACCTGTCGCAAATTGACTACCATCTGGACTCCATCGAACACATATGGTTGCTCCTCGATGTGCTTCAACAGTTTTTTCTATTCGTCCATTTTTATTCACAAAACAAAATTTACCTAAATATCAATCACATAAAAATATTTTTATTTCGAAAAAAAAAAAAAACATTAATCTTTTACCATCGCTTGTTGCTAAAACAAAAAGATCTGAACCAATTGTTCGTTTTCCACCTGAAGCTGAACCTGATCCTTGTCCACCACCACCACCAGCACTTGCACCTTTTGGTAACCAATGCATATCAAGTGGATAAAGATCTTGTGCTAATTCAGCTACTTTAATCAATTCATTTTGTACAACATTATATTTATATATAATATGATCTTCTCCAACGGAATATAAATCATCTGCTGACATCCATCCCACACAATCAACACGATCTGCATGACGAAGTGTTGGTGGAAAAGTAAATTTTAGACGCATTGTTCAATTAAATTATATTGAATATAATTTAGTTTCTTTCTTTTTATTGTTTAAATCAATGATGAACTGTTACCATTATGGAAGAAAGTTACCTAGTGAGAGACTTTCAAAGGAAGACAATATATTTTATGATTGGATAAAGATTGATCTAATGAGAAAAAATCAATTAATTACGATTGAAACTTTGTTCGTTTATTATTCGAAAAACGTTTTATTCCAATGCCGGAATTGATCAAAGAATTATCATTTCGACGTATTCTTGATTCATTAAAATTAACACCTACACATCGCCTAGTTGAGTTTAAAGGTAATCCATTATTTCTTTTTTTTTTTTATTATTTATTTTTTTTTAATAATTCTTGTTTCATTTTTTTTTGCATATAGACATATGGGCTGAAATATTTCTTTGGTGCTTTATGACATCTATTGTTGTACATTTAATTGCTACTATAATTGCTATTATATCATTAAGAAGTCATAAAATTGGACGTTGGTATGCGATATTTATTTTTTTAGCTGGAATTATAACTCCAATCATTCCATCAGCTCTTACAAGTAAATATATTTAAGAGTGTATCCTTCCTTTTTCTAGTTCATGAAGGTGAAACAATCAACCCATATGAAAATATTTACAGCAAACAGACTACTTAAAATAAGAAGACACATTACCAAGGGAAAAAATTTGAACAAAGTTTTGTAGAAAACATGATTTTCTCATAGAACTATATCGAGTCCGCTTACGATTTCCATCAAACTTTGTCCGATCAGACTGAAATTTTGGTGCCAGCTACTTATAAGCTTTCTCCAGCGATGTAATCGACTGTTTTTATTTCGCACTTCATGATTTGGATTTATAGAGTGCTAAACGCCAGCACCTTGGTTTAGGATCCGAACATTTACGTATTTGTCTCATAAGAAAAGAAAATGTCACATTTAAAAAAACAACTTTAAAATCACCGTATGAGACATAATACTAGGTATTTCAAAAAGAAATTTTCAGCCCGATTGAACTAAGAAGACAGGGTTCGTCTTCTTATTTTAGGTGCTCTATTTATAGTAAATATTTCATTCAAATCCGTTGTTTCTTTATTCGAGAACCAGAAATGATCGAAAATACAAGAATAGATTTAAACCGAAATAGTAAAACTATTCCTAATTATGTTTATTTCTAGGTGCACTTCTTTCAGCTATATTTTATGCTGCTTCGGTAGAAACAAAACCTTTCTTTTGTTTCATACTTGGTATTGGACAAACTGGTGTTATACTTTTCTTCTCTTTTGTCAAAATCTTATCTACATTATGATTAACATCATTATTGAAGTCAATTATTTTTTATTTTTCTTGCATTTATTTATCAAAGAAGCATTTTCAAAATTCCAGTATATGTATTTTTGTTGTAAGAGTTAATCAAATAAGATTAAATTTCAAAACATATGATAACAAAGGGTTGTTTCTAATTTATCTCTATTTTCTGTATAGAAAAAAGCTTTTTATGTAATATTATTTTTTATTTATATATATACGTGTTTAAATACAAAAAAAAAGGATCGGCCTGATTGAATATGTTATCTAAAGGTTGCAACAAATATTTACTTATGCGTGAATAACAATTGAAAAAAATTAACTGGTTCTTCTGACATTTATACGACTTGATTATTGAGCAAAACCACCCTGAACCGGCTGTTGTGAATATCCAGGTTGTGGTTGAGGAATCATTTGATGTAGGTGCTGAGGAGCAGCAGACATCGCAGTAGGTTGTGAATAAGGCATCATGGATTGTTGCGGAGTAAAAGTCGCCATGTTAGGTTGTTGTGGAGGCATCATTGGCTGTTGAGGAGGTACAGGAACCATAATAGGTTGTTCGGGAGCCATCATTGGCTGTTGAGGAGGTACAGGAACCATAATAGGTTGTTCGGGAGCCATCATTGGCTGTTGAGGAGGTACAGGAACCATAATAGGTTGTTGGGAAGGCATCATGGGTTGCTGTACCGGTGCAAAACCTTGCCCTTGTTGCACTGGCTGTTGAATGGATACAGGTTGAACCGCGGGTTGTTGTTGAGCTGCTAATACCACTGGGTGTGGTTGAACATATCCCTGTGGTACAGGCATTTGTTGTGGAAGAGGCTGAGAAGATGGTTGTCCTCCTTGCTGGCTTTGTGGCGCTAGTATTTTGCGTATATGTGCACCCATTATAATTTTTTCAGAGAAATATAGCTGTTGGAAAATAGATAAATGATTAATGAAGATATGGCGATATAATATGAATATTTATGATCATGAAAGCAAGAATCACTCATGCATATCATATTTTTTGTTATTTCAATGCACGTGCTTAAACGAGCACTCGAAAGATGAGACACCGTAACGTGATTATTATTTAGTGCGTTGTAAAAAAAAAAAAGTCCAAATCAACAAACTCTCACTATCTATTGATTATAATTACGCAAATCTGTTGTAAGTTTATGAGTGTGGTCTATCTTTTTATAAACTATTTCGTTTCATAAGTTTTGGCAAGGATTGATGATCAATTGTGAATTTATATGCACTTCTACGGTTTTCTGTGTTTATAAACTCTAGTTGAGTAGTATATATAATGAAATAAATCGTCAAGCGAAAAGATTTTTTGTTTTACAGTTGAGTTTAAAATATGCAATGACACACCCTTCACCTTAAGGTTAATTCCATTCATGTACCGAAAAAAAAGGTTTATGATCTCCGAAAACAATATAAGGATATCTGAATTTAAAATGGATCATAAATTTTTGCCAATTTTTATGAAGATAGAAGGTTTATGTCACAGTAATAAACAGATAGTGATGATTGTGTATTTTGTACTTATTTTTTACAATCTATCTAGAATTTACGTTTGTATAAATTTATAAACGACATCTGCCGTTGTGATATAATCGGATATTATTTGTAAAAAATAAACTCTGACTAAAATAAACTTCATTCATTTAGATTGAAATTTTGATGATAATTAATAGTCAGAGTAATTTCATCAGTAGTATTTTCAATTTGATCATAGAATTTAAATTTAAACAAACTACATTTATTCTATTTGAAGTATGAGTTTTAATAGATAAGTTTTCATTCGTAAGACGTATAAATATATTTTCATGACCATTAAGATTATACATTTACGTAGCTATAGAAATAAAATATTTTAATGCAAGGTATTATGCAGATGTGTTGTCATATTCGATTAAATAAAGCTCTGTTCGCTCATTAGAATAAAAAATTATTGATTATTCTCTAATCATGTCATAATTCATCATTTGATACTAGCTCATTTTATTATTGTAATATTGTAGACTTGACATTTGTTTGATTAATAATGAATGACCTATTTAGTAAATATTAAAATACGGCATAGTTCGTTCGATTCAACAGTCATATTCAGAAAAATATAATTGATTTTTTATTGATGTTTATGACTTCAACAATATTAGTAATATGAGAAAAACAAAACTCACATGGGCAAAAATGATAAATATTTGTCTTTACATCTATCTGCACATATATTATAAAAAAAAACAATGGATTAGTTTGCAGAGGAAATACGTCATGCATTATTATTTACATCTTTGATCAACTATCATGAGACGTTTCTATTATCAAAAAAAGAATTATCATGAGATTTTTTTTATTTAACTTTCATCGACGTTTACATAGGACATTTTCTCATATCTGTCGAGTACCACTCATATTTACTTTATCTATATGAAACCTATTATTGAAAATGATGCATAATCAGTACTGATTTAATGCTACTTTTTTTATAAATGAAATAAACAACAAATAGTAAATGAGTCAATATGCAGTAACTATGACGTTTGATTCTGGTTTTTGTCTTATCATGCAAATCACTCGTGTTCGTGTCAGGAAAAACAAAAAACAGAACAAAGACTATGACAATTGTTATTGGATTAAGACCACTGTCACATAAATCATAATTACAATTGTTTTCTGTTAATTCTTCAATGCAAAAATTTCTATTATCAAAGATAATAAATAAAAAAAGGATGCTGTTTTGCTATTTTTTGACAGACTACAAAAAGTATTATGGCATAGCATCGTTATTGTTTATTATTATTTTTTTTATCTAATGACGTCTCGTAGTATTAATTGATCTCTAGATAATCAGTTAAAATAGCATGTTGCATCCTTTAGGGTAAAGTGTAGTTGACATACGAAAATATTTTCTTGGTTCGTAGATAAGAGGTACATAGCACTCTGATTGACTATCACCATAACACGTAATGAAAATAAAAACATCGATAAAAAAAATGGTTGTTTTCGAAAATAAGTAAGAAATGAAAGAATGTCGCTTGTTTTTTTTCTTACCAAAAGACTAAGGAAAGAAAGGATAACTATATCGACATAGTGACTAGCGAACAGCCACAATAGTAAAGTCAACTTTGCTCTGTAGCACTTGTCGATTATTTTTTGCGTAAAAGGAAGAAAAGAAGAAGAAAAAAAATACGACTTGTAGCGCATCTTGTAGCATATTCAACGAAGACTATAATATCAAGAATGCTTCTTCTAGACATGCTATAACTATCGAAATAAAATTAAATAATATCGTTAGTGTTACTATGTGGAAACACCAATGCCTTTACTTAATTTAGTTTTAATTCCCGTTATATATTTGATCTCCGACATGAACGCACTCTTACTCACGAGATAAACGAGAAACTAGAAGAAAAGTATAAGAACAATAAGAAAGAAAAAAGTAAATGAAGAAGAGAGCATTTATTATTTCTCTTTATATACTTATAACCGAAGCACTTTTATTTAATTCATAGGAATCTTGTTTTTATTTTATTATAGAAGAATGAGTGAACACCAATCAGCATCAAATAATATTAATGGTAATAATGGTAATAATGGTAGCTTTTATGAAAATGGTAGACAAACGGGACCGTTTTCTCATAGACGTTGGTCTCATGCACTTGCACTTGCTGACCAACTGCGTCATAATACACAAGCTAAAAAAAATGAACAATTACGACAATATGCGTTTGATATTCCATCAGCTGATGCTCACGAACCAAGTACTGTAGCATCGATTGAAGCACAAACTGATCATATTAATTCTTTTCAAAACGAACTATTAGTTGCCAACATTGGTAACTTTAGTTTGGATAGTTTAACTGAATATTTTCTTAATTTAAAACATACATTTAATCAAATGCTTGAACTTGACAAAAATGATATGCAACAAATAACATTAGCAACATCAATAACAAAAACGGCTTTATTAATTGTTTTACGTACAGCAGAATATATTGCTGACATTGTAACAAAGGGGACGAGAAGCTTTCCAACATTAAATTCTCTTATTTCATATATTCGTTCCTGTCATAACGAATTACCTATACATGGTCGTCTTCTTGTTGATTGGTATGAGGCTTCACAGGTATTAGATTTACTTCTTGCTGATGCTGATTGGCTTGTACAACCACGAAAAGCATATTGGGCTATGCAAGTATGCAATGAAACATTAGCTTGGGCCCGTGTAGTTTTTAATGAAAATTATTTTAAAACATCTATGGGACGACCGATATTCGATCGAGATGATAGCGTGTTTTTTAATGACGCACTGGATCAAGAATGATATTTATTGATTATATATGTATATGTCTATTTTTTATCGTGAGTTTTTCATCCCATTTAATCACGTTTTAATAGACAAGATTAAATTAAATATATTTATGGTTATTCATAGACTAATTGTATTTAGCTTAAGGAAAGATCTTATAATATGAAAAAAGAAAAAAATATATCAGTCAAAAAGAAAAACATATACATTTTCTATAGTTCTTTGTTCTTATTAGATATTGCTTTTTTTAAATGATCCCACTGGTTCTGGATCAAAGTTCATCTTTAATGGTTTTTCTTTTGTAACAGTAATGTTAGATGTGGGTGATGATGATGATGATGATGGTTGAGTAGGTTTGGTAGGATCACTTGTCGGCGGTTTAGTCATATCAAGAAAACCTGCATTAGCTTCATCATCAACTGGAAAAACAGTAAATGCATTCGTATAAACAATTGCAGACGGAACCATTACAATACCACCTGCAATATGAACACAAATGCTCTTGATATTCTCTTATAATAGAAGAAAATTCTTCACTTACGATCTTTCGTTTTTAGATGCACATATCGAATATCGATAAAATGGACGAGACCTTTATTTTCAAGAGATAATATTCAATAGAACGTAACGTATACTAAAACCAATATAAATTTACCTTCAATTCCACCACCACTTCCATGAATTTTAATTCGACATCCTCGAACAAATGGTTTATTAATAACAAGAAAAATACCTGCTATAAAATTTGTTGCTACTTCTTTAAGCGCAAAACCAATTGTAAAACCTGTTATACCAATACCAGCTAATAATGGTTTAGTATCAACACCAAGTGTTCCAAGTGTAGTAATACCAATAAACGCATAGATTGTTACTGTAGCTGTTTTTGATAATAATCGAGCTAAATCCTCATCTTCAATAATATGTGAACGAAGAAAAAAATGTTCTATTTTTGGAGCAAGAGCAAGAAAACCCTTTACTCGTTGCATAGTTGTTAATGGTACTGGAGGTGGAGTTATTGGTTTTGTGTAATTTGATGGTTCAGCTTTTCCTCTGAACCAACGAAAAAATCGACGTAGACGGCCGGGTGGTCGTTCATTTGATGTACTTTGAGCTAAATAACGATTATGTTGTTGAGACGTATATATTAGTTGATTATTGTATGATGCTACTAAACATCGACTTGCAATATTAGAAGTATTTAGAGTACGTCTAGAAATTGCAAGCAATGATCGACAATACATATCCAGAGCTACGATACAAATCGTAATCTAACCCAAAAAAAAAAATAAAAAAGATTTAACAATACTATATTTCTTTAATTTTCAAAATAGGAATATATATATCGCTTTAGTTCTTTGCTTTCTTTTATCTTTATTTCATCTAAATATGAAAACAATTAAACCAAAAGAAATAAAAACTACGCATATCTGTGAATAAAGAAATATATATATATATAAATATTAGTTTATGTCAATGGTGCTGGAGGTGGTACTTTGAGTTTTTCTCGTCGAATCGTTTCACTTAATGTAACCGATGGGATTTTACACATGCCATAAGATGCATAAGCGACAACATTACGATTTGGTTCTGGATCCATAGCTTGTGTTTCAAGACCATAAAACGAACCTAATTCATGAATTACATGACGTTCATTAATTTTCATTGGTTTAAATGAATAACATCGTTTTGAAACACGATGACGTTGAGTTTCTTCAACAAGTTGTGCAAATTGTTTTTCAATTGTTTGAACAAATTCTAAGTGTTTTTTTGCATAATCACGTAAAAAATCCGTATAAACAATTGGTGATGATCTTGGTTCTTCAAGATTAATTGATAAAGCTTGAGCTAAATTTTTATTTCGTTGTATTATACGACATTCATCATCACATTCTAATTGTTGCTGTTGTTGTTGTTGCTGTTGTTGTTTACGTGCAAATGATAAATCAATTGTTCGAACTGATAATGCTTGAACAAGTGATTGAGTTAAATCAATATCATCTTTTACTCCACTAGATTCATTTGGTTTTACATTACAAACAACATCTTTTACTAAACGACCACATGGACAATGAAGTTTAATTACTTCTCGACATGTTGTTATTGGACATGGTTCATGTCCATGACATAAAACATTACATGGATGACCACATTCACGTCGTTTTATAGTACATCGTTGTGTACATTTTTGATCATTTGATTGACATGGACCTAAATGACATGAACGTTGACATGTATGAATACCACATGAAAGTAGTTGACCACATGGTTGTCCACATAAGACTTCTTTTAAATAACAAGGAACCTAAAAAATAAAGGAAATAAATCGAAAATGAAAGAAGATTTTTTTTTTGCTACATACATTATTACGTAATACATGTTCACCAACACACATTTTTGAAACAAGATGTGTACAAGGTGGACATTCATCCTCATTATGACAACTATGATAAACAGGATGATCACATGCATGTGTTCGATTACATTTATAATTACACATTGGAGGTTTAGTACCACATTCAATAGGTGGTTGAAGAACAGTTTGACCACAACGACATGTTAGTTCATCATAACTATTAATTGGACATTTACGACAAAAATTTTTATGGCATAATTCTTCACATTTACTGAAAGAGAAAAAAAATTGTTAAATTATTATTTTTCTTTTTGTTTTTTTTTTCATGTTAAATATACATACTGTATACCACAATTAAGTGTTTTACCACAGATTATTTCACAAACATGTATATCACGATCACAACATAATTCATTACATCTATACGCAAAAGAAAAAAAAAATATTTACAATTTTAAATAAATGAAAATAACTAACCGATGTTTTCCACATATTTTTTTTTTATTACATCGTCGTTCACAACAATAAGGATTTTTTATTGGATCATATTGTATTACTTCTGTGCATGATGCTGATTTACTTGATTGTTTACAACGACATTGTAGAATAGATTGTTTATTGCATGGTGGGCATGGACCATTATGACATTGAGCTGAACATCGATGATGATCATCAATAGGACCACATGATAAAATTTTTTCACATATTTTTTCACAAGTTGGTAACTAAATAAAAAAAAAAAGAACAATATTTTTTTTTTTGGATAAATTATTATTTCTTCAATCATACAGGATCAAGACATGATGTTCGTTGTTGATTATCCATATTTGTTTTTCCACAAGCACATGTTTTACAATTTTCTGGTAATAATAAACAATCTGGACATGGTCCAGTATGACATGTTTTTGTGCATTTATGATGACCACATGAAAGTAATTTTCCACATGGTTCACCACATGTATAGGTTTTTGTATTACCAGTTTCAATACTACATAAAACTTCTCTTTCAGTTCCATGTGAATAACATATTTGTTTTATTAATTGATCACATTCTGCACATTCTCGTGGATGACAAATCTAAATATTAAATTATATAATAAAATAATAATCACAAAATAGATAAATGGAAAAATTTTACACATGATATTTGTTTAATTTTGATTTGTGAGACAGTATTTCTGACGACTATTATAAGTTATGAGTTCGAATCAAGATTTTGTCTTAATTTTTTGTTTGAAAGTATCGCAATAATTTTTGAAAGTCAAAAAAAAATAGTTTGGACAGAAATTTTTTATATTTTCACCGTTGCAATTGGAAAGTAAAAGTCAAGTTCTTTATTTATACAGCAACTTATAGATCAGAGGCCACCCTACAACGTGCACTGTTTTATTTCTCGACAAGGTACCTCAATTTTTGTTCCCAATATGCCCTTTTCTTCTCTTAAAGTACTTTTGAGACAGAAGTACACGAAAAGCTTATATCTCAGTTCAAGAGCATTCATATTGAGTAGACATCTTCAATAGTAAAAGAACATTTTTTTGAAAGTTTCACCGAGTTAGGAACTATGATTAAGTGTGTTCACCGATTACATTGATACGTGCTTTTTAGGAAACTTTTAGTTAACAAAGCAAGCATACTTTTCCGAACCAAACTTTATCATATAGGATGATAGAACAAGATCTATATGGTTTATTCCCAAGGTTTTTCTATTTTCTTTGAAAAAAAAAGGTACTTTCCTCTAGGATAACAGAAACTTGACCATTTTTTAAGCTTTTCAAAAGTTATTTCACTACTTTCAAGCAAAAATAACTAAAAAAAAGAGTTTCTAAGTTAAGTAACTTACAAAATTCTCATCTTAATTCAACCTTTGACTCTCGTCGAAAATATTTTCAAGTGTGTCAAAAGTGAACAAATATCATGTCTAAAAACTTTTCGATCATTCTCTATTCAAATGCTTATTTACCAAATCACAAGTATGATGTTGACATGATTTAAGTTTACCACATTTGTTTTCACATTTAATTATGGAACTTGAGCTACACATAACAGTACGAGATTCACGTCCACATAAACAAGAACGTTTTATCATTATTGTACATGTTGGACAAGGACCAGGATGACAAAGTCTAATAGTAAAAAAAACACAGAAAATATAAAATAAACTTTTAATTAAATAGAATTATTACTCTGAACAATGATGATGACAATCATTAGCTTTCGTATTCAAACGTTTATCACATCTTTCACCACATGAATGAGGAATTTCACCAGGTTGAAATACTGGATTGATACGTTTATGACAAAAACATCTATAAACTGGATTTGTTGAATAAGAATATTGACAACCTGGACAACGCCAATTTTTATCTGTACCACTTTCTTCTGAACTAGCCCATTTTTTAATACAATTTAAATGAAACATTTTATAACATATATCACATGACCATATTTCTTGATCTCGTCTAAAGTAAATACATATATATACATAAATTATGTTTAAATTTATTATATAATGCAATGAAACATACTCAATTTTGATAATACAAATCATACATTCATAAATATTTTCAAATAATTGTTCAGTTAATGTTGAACGAAGATTTTCAGCTTCACTTGTGGATCGTACTGATGAATTACTACTTGGACGATTAGTTACTTGTTG